CAGCAGAGGAACAATAGCGGCTCTGTGTCTAACTATGTGTTTTAATAAGAGGCTAATCAGATTCTGTTGTAACCTGTGGAGCAGACAGCGAGATGAGAGCAGTGTCAGCATCTGTTACAGCAGACAAACAATGATGTCTTTATCACACGGCCGCAAATCAAAGGAGAACAATGAAAGTGTGTTTCAGAAGTTTTCTTGTACAGAAGCTAAAGAAACAGCGTGTATAACTATATAGTTATAACAGTAACTAGTTTATTACATTTGTATCGGCATTGTATTATCCATACAACATACAAGTGAATGATGATGTGTTCTTATTTGCAATTTGGGGATTACTGACAGTTATTATACACGGTCTTCCTGTTACTCAGTTGTCTCTGTAGAGACAATCTGATGTAGATGCTGGGGTCAAGTTTGAAAAAGTCATCTAATTTCAGCTTGAAAAAAGGATATTTGTCATTTTGAACTGACAATGCAAGGAAGAAATAGTACCAGTTATTTTCTCTTTATCCCATCAGTGTGTCCTGGGTCTTCTTTGCGGTCTCCTCTTAGTGGTAGAAATATATTTTTATTTATTTTGATAGATGAAAGAAACCTGTTTTGCTCGTACTGGTTTTAGGTATAGGTTTAGGTTCTTTGTATTCTTTTCATAAAAATGCATACATACACAGTTTTCCCTTCTTAATTTGTCTTTTAAAATACATTTCCCTCCTTTTAAAATACATCTACATTTGAGCCTATCAAAAGCTTCCAAGGCCATGACAACATTATTTGGACTTTGGGATAATAACCTTTGTCATTATCACCTTCCCATTTAACTCACTTCCACTATGCTCTCATGTCTGGATCCTAAAAGTGTGTCTGACTTTGAGACCTCAGCCAGGGCGCCCTCCTCTCTCTGGAGCCAGTGGAGGCCGGTGTGAGAGATGGTCTGGCGTGAGGTAATGTGACCGAGGTATAGGGGGAAATGTAAAGGAAGGGAGCCCCAGCTGACACAGGGGCCACAGCTGAGCGCTATATCAGTGAGAGACATGTATATGACTGTAACATATGACGCTGTTGTGAGAGCAGTTGTCATCCGGGTCTCTGCAAACGGAAACCAAACCCGCTGCAGTTTAATTGTTGTGGTCTCACATGTTTTGAACGTGCTCATAGGGTCACAGCTTGTCATTGGATTGATACTGTATCTAAGGGGACATGGGCACTGGTCGAAGGCGTTGTGGCCGAAACGTTTTATGAACATTTGCAAATTGAGAGCTTTCTTTGAACTTCACTAAGCAGGTGTGACTTTTCCTCTCAGAGTTGGGTTTTATGTTAAACTTGTGCAGCTTGATGCAGAGACCCATGGGAGACCGCTGGCCCTCCTTCTATCTGGTAAAAAAGTAAAGAAAACAATTAACATGTGTAATCGTACAATTACCTACGGTGTGATTGTACATGATTTTAGTGGTAGTGGAAACCAGAGCACCTGGAGGAAACCTACGCAGACACGAGGAGAACATGCAAACTTCACACTGAAAAGCTTGGAGGTAGCACTGCACCACCTTGCCTGCCTATTAACTCATTCATTCATTCATTAACATCTCCTTTATTAATCCATGCCTGAAGTTACATAACGAATGTAACTTCAGGCAAAACAATAACACAAAAAGACAATATGACTGATCTCTTCAACAAACAGTATTGTAAAGGAAGTGGGAAAATCCTGAGTATATACTAGGGGCAAATGGGGGCACACAAGGAATAAAGAAAATTTAATGGGTGGCTTTGATTTGCACAAGAAATGCAATGATTAAAAAAAACAGAGCCATTGGTCCATAAGACTTGGGCCATTTTTGTGGTCCAATCAACAAATCAAAGACCAGGAATTACAAACTCAACTGTAACGTTTTAAGAATATTATAAATTATATTATAAATACTGAATATGAACTACATTTGCTTAATATTCTTCAGCACTTTGTGTGTGCATTACTTTCTTTTTTAAGGGGATATAAGGGGTTTCTTAGTTATTTAAGTTGTTTTGAGGAGTTAATTACACCATCACCCGCACCTGGCTCCTCTGACCACCGCCACGAGATACACCTACTCTCTTATTTACATGGTTTTCACTAACTTCGTCTGCTGTCTGAGTGCAGTCTTTGATGTGGCCACATTCAAGAGAAATTGCCTAAAAGGGTCTGAAGCTTTAGGACAGGACTGAATATGGGCGCTTACACTGACTGGTCTCATTTATAGTAATCTGTACAAAATATGTCTGGGTCACAGATTATGTTTTTCTCTATATATATTTTTTCTCTTGGAATCCTCCCTCTTTTTAAAGAGGTTCAAGTACAATAATGGGCAATGTTTGTATGAATGGAAATGGAATCTAAATGAAGCCTGAAATATAAATATGAAGCTTAAAATTTAACAATTTAATAGCTAAAAACATTGCCCCAAGAAAACCTATTACCTCTAACTGTCTGTACTAGAATTTATCATTCTTTTAATGAATCTAATCTGCTTAATGTTTTGTTTTGAGTTATACATTCAGCTAGAAAACTATAATCATTGTTCATTCAAATACAGCTGCATTTTTAATGTTGATTCTGATTCAGTCTCACTTTTTATTAGATTTTTTTTTCCTGTAGCTTAAAAAAACTGTACTCCCATATTCGTACGCCCTCACATCTGCATATATTTACAAGTGCATTATTAAACCTGCTTCCTCCGATGTCAAGAAAGAACTCTATTGCCTTCCTATATTAAAACTGCAGTGGTAGTGATCTGACAAAGCCTTATTCCCTGGTCAAAAGGATTAATTCAGGAATAATTCAGCTCCTGGAGACCTATAATCCAATCCAAAACTATTCATTAGTGGTTGTCTGGGACTGTTGCAGAAGCTCTGAAATACTGTTAGAACTGGAACTCATTCTCATGCCACAAGATCTCATCAGTTTATATTATGAGATCAATATGATGAGTTGTGATTTTATCACAGTGGCTCAGTTGGTAGAGGATTGGTCTTTGGACCTAATGGTTGTGGGTTCGAGCCCGCAACCATTAGGTCCCTGGGCAAGACACTTAACCCCTCTTTGCCTGAAGTACCCCCGCTGAAAAACCAAGGCTGTATTTTCACGGAAAGGAGCAGCCATCTTCTTGTGGACCCATTCCCTGCCAGAGGATCATAGAGGGTCTGGTGTTTTGTGAATTGGGTGGCAGCTCTGGTTGCCACCCCCTGACCCAGAAATGGATGCATAAAAGGATGAAAATGAAATGATTTTATTAAAAGGTTGTCCTCACTGGTCAACTGTAAATCTCAATTTATAAAGAGTGACTTTCCTCTCGTTGCATAAAAAGGTCACATATCTGCGATTAGACCATCTATAGATAATTCTGTATCTGTTTCAGAAGTATATATACCTTGGCTGTGAAATTTTTAGAGAATAAAATATCATCCAAGGAAGCTACTGTATATGTTACATGTTACATATATGTTACATGTTATATGTGGCTGCTCACAGGACAACACCTGGAGCTGGCTCCTACTCTCTGACCAGAGACAGAGGGTTAAACTATCACACAGTGCTGCCCGTCATTTCTTGTGGCACGTAATCGATGGTGTGCAGTGACACATCGAGGTCAGTGCCACAGTCTGAAAGGGTTTGTATGTTTTTTTTACCAAATGCCACATTTGACTCTTTTTGGCATCATGTTTTCCATGTCTATATTTCTATGATGTGACATCAGTGAACATGTTATGTGCGACCTCTGTCCTTGATGCTGTCTATTTGTCCGTGTCCACAGTGTCAGTACCAGATCTACAGGGGAACCATTCCATCAGAAAACTACTGACCTTCACTCCAAAACGCTCACACACACACATAAACAAATAAAACCACTGATTCATTTTCAACCCTTTTATTAGTCCATTTCTGGGTCAGGGGGGTGGCAATGAGAGCTGCGACCCAATGCTCAAAGCACCAATCCACCAGATCATAGATAATATTCTGGTTCTTATTATTTTAGAGATAAACACTGGATGTAGTGCTGCTGCATTAATAAGTATCACTTTTACGGCTGAAGAATATTGTATTTTAAACTCCTGCTCATGGCGTTAGTTGGCTGGCAGCTGAGCAGACAGCTGCGTTACTTTAGTTTTGTTGTGAAATCTGTCCCCAGCGGCCCCTTTGCACCAGGCTGTTGAATATTCACCGAAGCGCAAGATTTAGATTAAATGTAATTTCATTTGTTGTGTTTGTCATGTTTTATGTCTTTGGAAAACGGCAGTGTTACTCAGCAGCTATGTGAGAAATCACGTTATTTTTAGATATTGTGCTTGGAGTGATGCGATGTGCTGACTTCATCATAGATTCATGTTGGACTGAATTACTGCAGTGAAAAGAGCTAATGCCCTACATATGAGTCAGGGGCCAGAGCTCTTCCTCTGTTCAGTTTCAAGTGTTTGAGCAGACAAAGAGAAACCCAAGGATGTATTTCTCTTTGGGGTCACAAAGCAGTTCTAGAAGACATTTACTGCGACATACTGTAAGCGAAAATGACTGTATGCGTTTGTGTTTATGGAGTCTTTAGTCCTCAGATTGTGAGTATAATAGAATTGTGAGAGTTATTGTTGCTATTGTTTGTTTTTGGTAGTGAGGATTTTCTAGTACCTTTGCTTGGGTGGAAAACAAAACAACTGAGCCCAGAGCCTCTGCTGTAAAGACTGTATACTGCAGTGGTTCCCAAAGGGGGGGTCACGGGACATAAACTGAGGGTCATTGATCAGCACTGGTTTACAAATAGGTCAATAAAAAATTGAGATAGCAAATACAATCAATGAATCCTGATCATATCATTTGTAAAAGCTGTGAGAGGTGTATTCACAGTGTAGCTCCCACCCCATAATTCACTCCTGCTGTCCCTATATGAGACTGCTATCACGATTTATTTGCCCTCGCAATTATCTGGACTATATTAGAATAATTACTACTCATGAACAGTGACTGAACCAGAAAAATGAGACAGCGCAGTGTGCAGCAGAGTAGGAGATGTTAATGCTTATCCAATATCTGCAGCAGTAGACATTACTGCATACTACATATATATATATATATATATATATATAAATTAGATAAATGTATACACTGTATATTATATATTATATATTATATTCAGTGTTCTATTCTTTAATCTTCATTCATGGGTGAAAGTATTTTTAGTGCTTTAGATCGTTGGACATGATTTAGGGCTTTACAAAACTAAGTTGATTTGAATTGCATGTGGTGTTCATTAATAACGTTTCCTTCTTCCTCTTGTTGCAGCGGTGGCGGCAGCAGAGCCTCAGGTCCAGGGCTTAAGGAGACGTCCAGATGAAGTCACATGGTCCTATTCAGGTTGGTCCTCTTGTTAAATTATGATTTTTTTATTGAAGATGTATGAGATTGAACCAGGTGTGGTAATAAAACATAAAAAATATTTGAGCACACCAATTTTACAAATAACATAAAAGTTTTAGGGGGATTTGTCTGAAATCCCACCTCTCTGGAAAATTAAATTTTCCCACTCCAGTGTTTTTCTCCTGTCTTTGCCTAGTGTTTTGCAGGTTCTCTACTGCCTTTCACATATTTTCAGCTTTTACTGCCCTTCTATTTTTAGCCATAAAAATGATTGACAGTGAATTAGTTATGAGTAACAATTATTTTCTTACACATCACATATTTGATAGGTACCATAAATACAATGTATACTGTGAATGAATGAAGTTTTTTATTTAAGGGACAGCGTGTAGTTACATAGAAAAAATGGCTATACCAGATTTAGCGTCATGCTACTCTCCATTCATAGTCCCTTCCACGGTGCCGCCTGTATGTGTTGTCCTCATTTGTAGTTCCTATCTGTTTGATTACTATATTTATCCACAAGAAACAAAACGCATAGTGCCACAGTTCATAATGTGTGGATCAAACTGGGATGTAAAGAAAATTCCAAAATCCTAGAGATAATAAAACTGAAAATATTTTATAATTTAAATATGTTTCCCACATTCTGCATTTTACGAGAACATAAATGTTGAAGTATTGAACTACACAAGCTCTTTTCACAATCCCAGTGTTTTGTGTCAACCTAACAACAGCCTCAGTGCATCAATCCTTCAAACTCAGCCATCGTCAGTCATCATGACATTAATTGGGCCTTTCGACTTCAAACAGCAAGTGAGAGTTTGGCGGTTAGCGGATGATAGATGGATGTATGTGTTCAAATAAATATGTGCAGCACATGTATTGGTTTTTATTTGGGATTGACATATTGTATATCACATCATAATTCAAAATCATATCATAGTTTTAAAAAGGGGATTAGTCTGATTAATGTATAGCCTTTTAAAAAAAACATTAAGAAAAAGTTTATTGTCAACATTAATCCCATCATGTACGTGTGTGGATGTTGAATAGGAAATACCCCAGTGTATATATTGAGAGAGAATAAAATGTTGCTAAAATGGAAAACTGGCTCTTGCCCCCAAACGCTTGTATTACATCATGACTTCTAACTAGAAGCCAGCAGACGGACGGTCGAGTGTGACATCACCACAGCAGCTCTGATGTGCTTGTGATTGCATCATTTACACTGTGGCTGTTGGACCAGTGCATGTGTTTCCAAGTGTCCTGCTGGAGTTATGCCTCACACTGACGTCCCACTGGGAGACCTCAAACAGAGACAGATTACAGCCGGACTCTGGATCTCCTCTCAAGAGATCAGGACTGGGATAAAGCCAGGCCATTAGACTGATTAACCTCCAGGTCTGGAGTGACGCAATGTACCGATGACATGACATGTTATTATTACACAACAAATCCACATATGAAACCTTCATACGAACGAATCAGTCATTTAAGGGTAGGAGCAAGTGCTTTGAGAGTCCAAACTAGACCCGGCTCTCTTTGAGGATGGGGTGGATACATTGCTGCTTTAAATCATTTATTAAAGTTATTTATCATTTTAGTTTAACAAACGGCAAGAGTTTTTTTTTCCCAATCAATTTTTCAGTCAAGTGTGGGAAATAAACAAATGGGAAGGACATTTACCTTTCATATACAATCTTAATAACCAAGCACTTACAATATCAATAATCATAATACATCCATTTAATAAAGCATGTTTTTGGATTCTCTAGACTCTTCACAAAGCGATATTCACTGACAGAAGCGAGGGAACCAGTATGTGGCATCGGCCCCTCCGACCACCACCAACCATTCACACACACCAGACTCATTCTCATACTTTGTGACTGTCAATACCTTGCTGTGCAGTTCCCTACAAGCATGACAATACCTTATACTGATACCATATACTTATAACTATACTTATACTAAATACAAAATACTAGGGATCATAATTAAATTCATTAGCACTGACTTTTCTGTGCAATGAAGGAGACTGTAATTCATGTTTCAGTAAAAGTAGTGTTGCTGCAGTTGTTTTTCCATCTCTCACTGTCTCCTGTCAAATCTCTGGGATCTGTTTCTGTCTGTTTATGTGGCTGTGGAATAAGTGAGGTCAGAGCTGTCTGGGCTGGGTCAATTTAATTCATTCTCTGTCACACACACTGTTGCACCTGGACCAAAATGATTCATTTGAAGTAGAGTCACAACGTCTTAAAAACAGCAGTTCATGTGTGTCGTCACTTTGCTACGTAATTTATCTTTTTCACTGCAGCATCTGAACAATTCATTTGTCTAAGAATGGAAGGGATTTGATTTTGGTCATTGAGCAAGACACCTCTTTCTAGCTATTGTTGAAGATGAGTTTTGTTTTCATTCCACAAGTACGTTCTTTCTTTACAATAGCAGCATGACAAGACAAGGTAAAAAGCACAATTATGATGGATTGCTTCTCTGAAAGTTGGCCAATTCAACATAAAATTGAACCCCAAGGCTGCCTTAGAATCTCTTGGCTTTTCAATCGATTAAAAGAGTTGTTCCAGCAAATGTATCTGTCAATTAAACTCTATATTTAGTCATTATTGACCTTTTTAACAAGGAAAGTCCCACTGAGATCTCAGAATCTTTGTCGGGGGAGTCCTGACCCAAAAGAGACTGCGGGGCTAGTGCACATGTTTTTACCCTGAAGGGAAACCAGAGCACCTTGAGGAAACCAACACAGTCACAGGGAGAACATGCAAACTTCACACAGAAAGGCCCTGTCTAGAGGTAGAATCCAACCCAGGCCCTACTTGCTGTGAAGAAAGAGTTCTAACCTCTCTGTGCCACTATTTAAAATCCAAAAATCCGTTTACTGAGATATTATTGTCAATATTGCCTACCGTACATGAGCAACAGTTTGCTTGGTTTTAACTGTCACATTTTCACGTTACAATGCCCTTAAACCGAATCACCACCTCTCTGTGCTTCATCCTCATTCCACATCGCTGGTGCTTGATATTGATTTTTATAAGTCTCAAGTCCTGTCTGGCGTTCAGTTCAGCTCAAGGGATTGAAAAGTCTTTGCTGCTGCCTACAGACTGTTGTTCAGATATGGTCTTTGCTCCTCCGTACTGTGCGCTGAGCCGTGAGTAACTGCATTAACATGTGAAAGAGGAGGACTTCATTGTGAGATGCGATGCACAATTTGAGTGGGGTCAGGAGGAGAGGGAGGAGTAACAGAAACAGAACCCTAGAGGTGACTGGACTCATTAGAATACAACATTTAAATAAAACATAGACTGATGTTGGAAATCTAAGTTGGAGATTTATGGGCTGTCTTTCCTACACTCCTCTTTGGAGGTCAGATTTCTAATTATTGAAAGAGATAAAAGCCTGACTTGCAAGTAATAAAAAACTGAAACAGTGAATGGAGTTGACAAAAATAGAGGTCAAAGGAACTCGTGAACTTGTGAAATAAAAGTGCTTTATTGAAACATGAACAAGAGAAGCCGCGGCGTCTCAGGCCAGACCTTGATGAGGGCTTAATGAAAGTGTAGCCATTTCATCTCTTTTGAATAGAGAGTTTTGTATTTATAGCATTGACTTTATACAATGGATAATAATACCTGTAAGCTTGAATAGGAAAGTGCTCATGGTCGAAGATTTGACTCAACTCACGTTGGCTCCCATTCACTTACAGTGGACAAGAAACATACAATTTTGTGCTTAAACATATACGGTTTAACAATCCTTTTTTTATCCAGATAAGAACTGTAATAACCCTTTACCTGCTCATTAAGCAAGTAGCGCGAGCTGAAACTGCCCAATGTGGCTCCTGATTGGCTCTTTGGTTGCTACCCGCTCATTGAGCCTGTTTGAATTAGCGCTCATCGGATTCTTAAGACAAACAACATGTGTTACGTCAGTACTTGTTCAAGCCTTCAACAATCTTTGGCCATTACTTTTTTTTTTAACAACAATGGTGCTCGACAACGGTAACTATGCAGAGTGTTTGCAAAACACTGGTCTAAACTGATTCTCCACCTACTCCAAATTCATATGATCTGTACATCTGGTGTGATTAACCAGCGCTGGTGCATGTCGATTCTAATGCGGCTGAGCTTGCATCTACAGTACAAACTTCAATCCGATTGGAATGAGACAACGGCAGTCATGCATTTGAGAAGAACATCTTGTAAAAGAAACGTCAGTCTTTAGACGGTGTAGGGTTCTCGATCATGTTGTTTGGGATCAGTACACAGTCCCTTGCTGCATTTGTTTTGTTCTTTTGCTTTGTTATGCTAATGATTGTGCTTTCATGGGGCTTCACGATGGCAAGCAAGAAAGTCCTGGATATGAATCCCACTTAGTGCAAGGTAGTAGGTTTCCTCCAGGTGCTGCGGTTTGCCTTACAACTGTATGTGTCATGGACAGCACAGTCCTTATACAATGCAATCAGCAAAATTACATTTGATGAAGTGAGTCACAGAGCTGCCTTCTCTCTTCTTTGAACTTGGAAAGTCAGACCAATTGAACAAGAGCAACAAATATTCTGTACATGCACATACACATTAGAATAGAAATGCTATCTGTCTGTGTTTACAAGCGTAATTTGGAGTGGAGGGGGCACAGGATCGGGCAAGGGTGTGTGTGATGAGGGTCAGTTTGTGGTGAGGAAACACATAGAGTCTATCAGCTCAGGAGAAATGCCCAGATGATATAATCCTGCACATACAAAAACCTGCTGCACTGAAGTTTAATTCCACGCAACTCCTTTGGGAATGTTTGTAGCTGCTTACCCCCATCTCACTGATATCCAGAACAGAACTGATTACAATTACAATAGTCCTGTTATCAAAGGACCAAATATACAGATTTTCTTGCGGGGACAGGGCATAGATGTACGGCTCACTTTAATAGCCCTGGGAGCCAGATGTGGGAGGATTGGATAGGGCCAGCTGAGATATTGT